GTTTATCATGTATTTGATTGTGTTTATCTGCAGTTAGTTACACGAATTCAGATATGAATCTTTAATAAGTTGTACATACACACAATTTACTTGTAATCTTGAGTTTTAAGTAATATGCATTAATAAACAGTATTTTACGCATAAAAAGTGGTTTTTAAGAGCTTTTGTCAAATGATTTATAATATAGAATATATATATTTTTTTATATAATTTAATTTAAGTTTAATAATGAAATAATTTATTTTTGGTTTAATATTATAAATTTTATAAAGATAATAATTAAGTATTCTGTTAGAATTTAATGATTATACTAATTATATTTTAGATTTTTTATATTTAAAATTAGATGTTTATCCTGTATTTGATTGTATTTATCTACAGTTACTTACACGAATTCAGATATGAGATGAAATCGGATAGAGATAAAATCGTTTAAGGATGAACGGGTTTAAGAGTTTTTAAGAGTTTTAGCCAAATGTTTTATAATATAGTATAGATAATATAGATAAATAGAAAAATTATATAAAATATTAATTAACGATCAGATTATTTTTGTTTTCTTATAACCAAAATTTCATGTATAAACTATTTTATATATTTTCTTATAAATATAATTTACAAAACATCAAAAAACATGAAAACGTAAAGTAATTTTTTATTAAGGGTTCATACCCTACACTTTCTTATATAGTTTTAGGGACATATATATATATATATATATATATATATATATATATATTATATTATAAAACATTTGACAAAAACTCTTAAAAATCATTTTTTATGCATGAAGAACTGTTTGTTGACGCATATTACTTAAAATTCAAGATTACAAGTAAATTGTGCATAAGTTCAATTTATTAAAGCTTTATATTTGAATTCGTGTAACTAACTGTGGATAAACATAATCAAATAGAGGATAAACATCTCATTTTAAAATATAAAAAATCTAAAATATAATTAAGATAATTATTGAGCTATAATAGAATACTTAATTATCACCTTTATAAAAGAATATATATTATCAAACATAAATTAAGTTTGATAAATTAAATTATAATAAAAATTTTGAATTAAAAAAAATACACAAATACAAAATTTTAAATAGTAAATTTGATACTAATATTAAGATATATTTTGCAAATTTTATATGATATTTTCAAATTTATATTTTATTCAAAAATAAAAACATTATCGTTTTCTTAACACCACATAAAATCGTATTATATTGATATGGATAAAAAAATAAAATAAAACAATGAAAAGGAAACATGTCTCGATGCATTGTACAAATACCTTTCTAGTCATAAAAAACACTAATATAACATCAACAATTATCAATAAATTTTTAATTGAAAGATCATACTCACAACTATCATAATTTCTTATTAAAAAAATATTAAATGTCACTTGAGAAATTGCTAAAAAATTACCGTAACAATTGATGTTGTATTATTTTGTTAACGATTAAGGAGGTTGTTTGTTTACCTTTTAATAGTTTCATTAAGATGCAATATCTGAATCGTTAAGAGATGAATTTTGTTTGAAAAAAATAATTATGTGTCTTAATGGTTCTAAAATCCTCTGAATGATTTTGTATCATAGGCCCCCCTTAACCATTAGCACCATAATTTCATTGTATACAATTACCAAACAATTATATTTTATTTTGCACTATATCATGAGAGTTTTCTAATCATTCTGACGACTTAATCATTCTGTACCAAATCATTCAGCAACTGACAAACAGCCCTTAAGAAAACAAATGATTAAATCTAAATGATTAAATCGTAAATAATTTTGTACTATAACAATAATGAAGCATCTATAAATAAACTAAAATTATTTATTTACTCGTGTTTTGTTGTCCCTTTGATAATTTAATTGTTAATTTTTTATCTATACTACCTTATAGATCAGATTTATCAAAAGTTTTAAAAACAACTTTTAATACACAAAGTATTATACATTTATGCACAAAATATTAAAAGTCTTAAAAACAACTCAAAATGCATTAAATACTACTACTTTATGCATTTAATTTTAAAATATTCTTAATCTACAATTAAAATAACATATAGTATAAATTACCAATACACATTATTACATTTTTTTTGTTCCCAAGATACTTTTGACACCTTTTACTCATGCTTTCACCCCCTCATACCTCTATGTTTTTTTCTCCACCCCCCAAGGTGAGATTCAAACTGATATTTACAATGAGTTATTAAAAGTTTTCCCATTCAATTGATCTAGAACTCTCAGTCTTGCTCTCGATATCTTGATTCTTTACTTTTGGTGTAAATCGAATACATTTGTGGAGTCATTTATATATGTTGGATTTTAAATATATTGGATTCTAAATTGTCGTACAATTTTTTTTATCGATAGACTGTAACTGGAACCATAATTTTTATTTATTCAAATTGTATTAATATGTAAAGACCAGATGCAATTTATATCATCGTTAAATCTTCTTTAATAAAACCAGTTAAACTTCTAAATCGTTAAAACTCACGGCTCCCGAACATTGCACGGGTACATAACTAGTTTTAAATAAATAAAATTAATTAGACACTAATTACGTGATTATTACAACTAATCTAAACACGTTTGCTGATATAAAAAGACGTTTTATTACAAAACGCAACTCTCTGTCTTCTTCTTCACCTTCACCATCACCGATCTAACAAAACCTGCGACTCTCACGTCCCCATCACATCTCATTCATGATTTCCCCTTCGCCAACCAAGATCCCATCGCTTTTTCTAGTTTGATCTGCTTCATAATCTGATTTTAATGGCGATCGCATCTTCTTCTTCCGCTTATCACTCTCTTTTGACTCGTCCTCCTTCTCACAATCGCCACCACTTCTCGCCGCCATCTTTCTCGTTTTCTTCCCCTCGCCAAATTAATGGTTTCTCTTCTCTCTCTTTCCACCCAACCAAAACCCCGTCCCCTCTTCGACTCGTCTCCATGCGACGCCAATCTAAAGGTACTCTTCACCTCTTTTCCTTAACATTTCTGTGATTATGATCGGAAATGAAGGCCTTATCATTAACATGGCCGGAAAAACTATATGATTTTAGCATGATTTCCTTTTTCCATTTTTTATATGTTTTATTGAGATTTCTTGGAGATTTCTTGAATTTAGTTGGAATCTATTACTAGATTTTCTTCAATAGTGCAATTAGAGTGGGATTAAATTGGGGGATTTATTGTTTCTAGATTGCTAACCCAATAAACATTCATAGAATGTTGTTGCATCTAAACGATTAAGGTTCGAATTGCTTAATACTTAGATCATTTTGTGGGTACTCTTGTCTGGTTCAATACTTCTATTTACTTGCAAGTACTTGAGATCTTGTAGTGGGATTATCCAAACCGTGGGTGTCGATTCATATTCGTGGATACTTCTGCACATAGGGAAGAATAGTAATCATACAGATCAAGAAAATTGATCAATTTAGTCCTTGGAAATGCTTCAAGAAAAGCCTTAGAGTCATTGAATGCCTTCAGTTAAGGAATTCTATAATGCAATTAGGGTTTTGTGATTTATTTAACCACTTACAGATGATGTGCTTCTGAAGGCTTTCATGACATAATATCCAAGTGTAAATCTACTACTGAAACTGTTATGTGAATCTTTAACCATTTATTCTGAAGGCCTTGATGACATAGTATCTGTAAGAGAGTCCCACACCGGCTAGACTTGGACAGTTGGAGCATTTATCCTCCATGTATGTTGGAACTTCCATTCTCTCCTTAAGGGCTCTTTTGAAAATTAATCTAATAGGGTTCATACATATTCTCACTCAAAGCCAGGTCTACCAATCTAGGGACTCGATACCTAGGGGCAGTATGTACTTGTCAATCCCCCTTTCAACGGTTTGGACAAGCTGTGCCCATCTAGCCTCCGTTGTAGGGGGCATGTTTAGAGTCCCACACCGGCTAGATTTGGACCATTTCTTGTGCATAGATGTTGGAACCTCCCTTCTCTCCTTGAAGACTCTTTTGGAGAGTACATATGGTGGTTTCACATATTCTCATGATATCAAAGTGTAAATCTACTACTGAAAGGAATTTCGAGATTGATTAAAAAAATGAAGTTGAAACCTAGTAACCAACACAATGCTGTGATTCGGTCAGTATCAACATGTTTACCTAGGGACTGAAGGTGCTGATTTTGTGTTCGTAAATTGCCCCTAAATCTAACCTATGCCACAATCCACACCTTTTCCCATCATCAAACAGTTTCTTGGTCTTCCTTTTTTTTCTAGAAGTTGAAATTTTCTTGGAAATGTTTACCAAATTTTGGCTAATGTCTATGATTACAGCAACAGTGGTGACCGGACAGTCATGGGAGGCATCGATTATGGACAGCAAAACACCCGTACTGGTGGAGTTCTACGCTAGTTGGTGCGGACCGTGCCAGATGGTGCACCGTGTGATTGATGAGATTGCGGGTGAGTATGGCGGGAGGCTCAAGTGTTTTGTCCTGAATGCTGACCAAGACCCACAAATCACAGAGGAATATGAGATCAAGGCTGTGCCCATTGTGCTATTGTTCAAGAATGGTCAGCAGTTGGAGTCAGTGGTTGGAACCATGCCCAAAGAATTCTATGTGGCTGCCATTGAAAGGGTTCTCTCATCCTCATCTTGAACTCCTTTAAAGAACTTGTGTAAAGCTTAGATGCTCCATTTTTCTACATCAAATTCCCAATTTCGTTCGATTTTATAATGCAACGTTTACGATTGTTAGGTGTCGAGTTTAATCACGTATCCTTTCTGCTTGACCAAAAAATGTTCTAATTGACCGTACTGGGCTTAAGATTCAAGTTTGTATCTTTTGGTTTATAAAGGAGAACATGTCTTCTACGCCATGATATGAGTATGATTTGTATGCTATGTTACTTATTGAGTTTTACATTTTATAATTATATGCATTTATATAAATAAGGTTGAGTTCACGTGAGACTAAATGTTTTTCGTGAGACTCGTAAGACTAATTTATGTTCTTTGATCAGCCTTATAAACTAATGATCTAATGGTCTAAAGTTGCACTTTGATAATTTTGTGATTATTGAGAAGTCTTGTGGCGTTTATGAATGTTTAGATTGAAGATATAATCTAAGGGTTGAGAATTGGTTTTACAGGTCTTATGAAAAACTCTTGATCTCACATGATCACAAGTCTATAAAAATATGTATCGATGTATTTTTAGAATCATGTTGATTATATCTATTTTTTAAAAGCATCGTGTGGAAATTACAAAATATTTTAATTTTAATGATAATTTTGTTTTTCTTTTAAAAAATAATATTTTTGTTTTATTTATTTTGTAAACAATAAAAAATGAAACTCGAAAAAGTTTTGGAAGCTTGTAATTGTATGAAAGGATCCATCTTTGGGACCCACAAATTAATTCTTAATTTAAATAAATATAAATTATATTAAATATAATTGTTTTTTAATTCAATAGATCATACAAAAAAATAGAATTTTATTCTATTTAATTTAATACCCAATGTAAATATGTATTTTTGTAATTCTTAACTTGATTTTTAAATTTTCAATTACGGGTATATCTACATACGAGTGCGTATTTAAAATATTTTTATTATATTTTATAATTTGAAGGATTTTCATACGAGAATGATCTCTAAATAAAAATATAAGATGATAATTATGGGTTAATCATTTATTTAAATCATACATTAAATAAAAAATATAAAAAAAAATCATTTAAAAGAGCATGTGTCATTTATTGTATACAAATAATATATAACATTTAATTCTATAAAAAGTTATTTAATACATTTAATTAAAATATTTATTTATGATTTTCTTTATAAGATTTACGTGATTTAAATATGATTAATCTTTTATTTATTTTTATGACATTTAGCATGAGCATGGTATAGTTTTTCGTTTAATTTTTATTGAAATATGTATTTGAGATTTTTTTTTATAATTTTCATCAAAAATCACATGTGATATTCATAATCGACAACTTTTTTTTTTCCAAAAAGAAATTGCTAATTTCGTCAAAATATCATAGGTGATATTGATCATAGTAAATTTAAGTGAAAAAGAAACGCATGTTATCTACAATATTACATATGATATTTGCAGGGCCGACCCTGAGATTTTGGATATCCACGGCAAAAGGTCAAAAAAATGCCCCTTATATGTGTAAATAAAAACCAAAATAAACTATTTGAAGGGGTTTGGAACCTAGTCAATCTAGGCGGCTCATCCCCACACCGATTTATTTTAAATATAACAAAAATGATGCAATGGGGGGAGACATAAACCAAAACCCCGTGTAACAAAATATAAAATACATCACCATTCATCTAAAACGATGTCTTCTTGCGTTTTTTGAAACAAAAATATCTATCACTTCGTCATAACTAATATTAGCTAAAAACTTACTCTCAATACTCAAGATTGCTAACCCATCAAGTAACAGATAAAAATTTCAAAGTCAAATCATCAATATATTATAATAAAACACTTTCAATATGACTTTCGTGTTGTAAAATTCCCAAGAAAGTGGAACGATTAAGCAACTTGGTTGTTTTAAGCCTTTGTCCTATACTAACCCACTTCAAAACAGCTCTTAAAAAGCTTCTAAATAGCCCTAAAAAGTAAAAGTTTTAAGGCTTGAACAAATTGAAAGGAATGCAAAATCTAACAAGAAATGGATGTTTTTTTTTTCCGAAAGGAACAAGAGGAGTATACATACAATATTAGACTAATTTGTAAGTAGGAAATTAGGCATACCGTATACATACAACTTCATACAGTCAATCAGTCATACTTAGGTTTTTCAATCAGGATTTAGGCATACATGATAAATTAACAATTTAACATTATACATACAGACATACAGTTTGATACACGATACAGTAACAGACTCGTGAGAGGCAGAGAGCGAGAATTAGAAACATAATTACTAACAATACTAGAAACACAAATGACAAACCACAACAAAGGACCAATTTCACAGCTTCATATCATACTTAGGTTTTGCAATCAAACAAGAATTAGAAACATAAGAAAACATAAGTAAAGTAAACAACCCTAATGGCCTAACCTCACAAGTCATAAGATGCGAGAGGCGAGCGAGAGGCCGAGAGACGGTCGAGTCTCGAGAGACGGTCGAGAGGCCGAGAGACGGTCGAGACTCGAGACTCGAGAGAGGCAGAGAGCGAGATTTCGATTTGTGATTCGTGAATCGTGAGTTTAGAAGAGTGATGATTCACTGATTTGAGAAAACTGTTCGTCCATGACCTTGAGCGAAAGAGTGAAAGAGCGAGGCGAGATTGCGAGAGTCGAGGGAGGAGGAGGACGAAAGGCCGCTTGAGATTAGTGGACTGGTAATGCTAACATTAGTTTAGGCCCAAATCAAAATTGAAACCTATACATGTATTATTGGGCTACAAAAATTTGATGCCCTTGGGCTTTTTGCTGCCCTGGCCGTCGCCCCCTAGGCTTACGGCCAGGGCCGGCTATGGATATTTGTAAATTATCAATTATATTTTCGTATTAAATGTATTATGTTATACATCACATGTGATTAAGAATTTTCTTTTGAAAAAAAAACTCAATTAATTATGAATCATATGTAATTGTGACGAAAATTGAAATTTTTGTAACCACCGTCTTAAGTAAAAAAATAAATTGTTTAAATCAAAATTAAATGTATTTATTTCAAAATGCATCAAAATAAAAAAATAATTTTTTTAAGTAAAAAATTAAATCACATAAAATCACTATATAGTTAAAATAAAATATTAAATAAATGTCTTAAATTAATTTTATATAAATAAATTACTTTAATACCCTTATTTGTTTATTTTTTAAATTATTTATTTAAGGTATCATTTAATAAATTGGTTGTCCATATTTATTCTCTTATTTCTTTTTATCAATTATCATTCTTGTATAAAACCAACTATATATAACTTATTATTATTTACATGCAATTTATTAATACATTTAAATTTTATAAAACTAAATCGTAAATCATAAGCAACTCATAAACATATTCATATACAAAACAAACACTGAAACCTATTAATACCATGAAATACTGTATAAAATCAATAACCAACAGAAGACTCTTTCACTGTATCAAACCATAAAAATTCATAAAATATTATACATGTTTGAGGTTGTTTGTTTACCTCTTAATGGTTTCATTAAGAGACAGCCTCTGAATCGTTAAGAGCTGATTCTTGTTTGGTAAATTTTTTTTGTCTCTTAATGGTTCTAAAATCCTCTGAATGATTTTATATCTTATGTATCCCTTAACCATTCAGAACTTTAATTTCATTTTAAATAATTATCAAATAATTATATTTTATTTTTTAATATATTATAAAAATCTCTTAATTATTCTGTACCAAGCCATTTATCAACTTTCAAATAACCCATTTTTATTTCAAAAATATCATGCAAAACAAAATTTTCCTTATTTTGTTGAGTGAGCCCAAAAAATTTCCAGTGGTGGGGCGTTAACGGAGCTAGGTATAACGAACTACTATGGAAGAATTTGGTGTCTGGGGGCGGCCCACGTTAACCATTTTCCCCTAAATACTAAAATTCCCTCCCACCATTTTTCCTCCTTTCGAAATCAACAAACAGAAACCTTTCTACTTTTGGCAGGTAAATAAAAATCTCTGCGTTTTTCTTGATTCAATTGTAATCCTCTTCCTTTTGTTTCTGTTGTTGCAGATCTATTAATTGTGTTCCTGATTTTTTAATTTACTGGCAGTTTGAATTCATGTGGTTGGTGTTTCACGTTTAGAATGCTTTCCTTGTTTTCTTGATTGATTCGAATACTTAAATCTTGATTTTAATTCATCATACGCATCAATTTGATTGTTGTTCGAGATAATTGTTCATTTGTCCTATTGCTTGGGCTCCTTTGGGATCGTAGCTGGATTGACTATTGGATTTTCGTTGACCCTAGCCGAATGCACGACCAATTGTATGAATTCATGTTTTGAATTTATTAAACTGTGTTTGTAGCTCTTAGGAAGATGCACGATAGATGGTGTTTTGAGGATTTGTGCAAAGCAAAAAGAGAATTTGATCATGATACATTTTTCAGCTATAATTTTCTGTAATTAAAATGGCACAGGACAAGCAGTTGAGGTTAATCTTTTCCCATTTTCTTCAATGCCCACATGCTTATTTCAGTAGGGTTCATAACTTATTCTTGTGTGGGTGGGTGGGTGCCAGGGAAGCAATCTGATAGATGTTTACTTAATAGCATTTAGATTCCCACACTTCATAAGATTGAATACATATGATTACTTTTTCCAGTTCCCACACAGCATATGAACAATTTGAATATATGGCAAGGGTTGGAAAACCTATTTCAGGAAAGGAACACAAGAAGGGTGATGGAAATCATGTTCAAGATTGATTGGTATTTCAGATAATTTCCTTTTCGTCGTAACAAAATTTCCATAATAATGAATTATAGATAGAGAGTAGGGTGGGCATTAGAGGACATGCAAAACCATGATATTTCTCTAGTTTATTTACGATAGTTTTGGAGAGACAGCTGCCTCTGGAAAGCAGTCCGGTTTTGTTAATCTTTCTGTTATTTAATCATTGAATACCACTTTGGTTCTTATCAAATTGGAAAACCTATTTAATATGTTGGTTATGATCACTTTTTTCCGGCGAGTGTTGAAATGAAACTTAAGGAAATAACTTGTTGACTTGTGTGTCCTGTCATGGTGCATGTTAATGGCGGTATTGCAGATCATAGCATACAAAACATACATGAGTTTTTGTATTTAACACTTCTTCTTGTCCCTACTGAAGCCTGAACTTCAAACAGTGGCTATGAGTGGATGCTCAGTTAAAGTCCCATCAATATGTAAATGAAAGTTAAACCATCAAACTTGGGGATACTTCTTTCTTCTTACATTTCTGGGTTTTCCTACACATAGGACAACCATAATTGAGGGAGACACTAGAGGAAATTAGGAAAATGTACATGGAATTGGTAAGATCAACAATTAGCATATGGGTTTTGTGCAACTATTTCTTGATCGACTATCTGCTAAAGTCACTGCATGTCCCTCCCTGTTAAGTCTTGATGAGTCCCTCAATGGGCTCACCTCTATTAAGAGTCATGGTCTTCTAAGCTGGCTTGTTTGGCACATCCAATAAGCTCAAAATACCAGTTTATAATCAAGTCTTTGTCAGAATCTTAATCACCAAGTGAGTCCCTTTGTTACGTTATTTACACACAAAAAAAATACAGAACTATACAGCAATTCCTTCAACCCAATCCAATTAGAAGTGCAAAGAAGTTGTATATTCTTGCTAATGAGTCATATGTTGGTAACACAATACATAATTAGATGTTTCATTCAAGTAATTTCTATTTAGGGAGAATATTAGTCGTTAACATGCCTATTAGATACTCATGCTGATACTATTCGTCTACTATGTGATTACAAGCAGATAGGCATATACCTCTGTAGTCATTATTTGAAGTTTTCTCTACTGGCTTCTCTTTTTATCTGATTGGCTGTTACATTCTCGCTGTGAATTTAGTAATTTAGTTAGCGTTAAGAGTGTAAACAGCTTGAGTTATCGTTGAGTGAAGATAGGTAATTTGAATTTGATATGTGTGATATTTTACAAATGTGAACTCCAAAAATGTTTACATTAAGCTTAGCGGAGTGGGATGAACAAAGAAGTTAACAATTTTCTTTCCGGCAATCAACAGGTACCTTGAAGCTTTTATGATCTAGTGATGGCTAATGCAAATGCATCAGCGTTGATATTGTCTTCAGGATCCATGGAACAAACACATGTGTCAATGCAAAACACAAACTTACCTCAACAAAATCGTAATGGGTCAGATGGTCCTATTGCAATACTCTGGGACATGGAAAATTGTCCTGTTCCGAGTGATATACGCCCAGAAGATGTGGCTGGCAATATCAGAATGACCTTGCGGGTGCATCCTATAATCAACGGAGCTGTAACTATGTTTTCTGCATATGGGGATTTCAATGCTTTTCCTAGGCGTCTAAGAGAGGGCTGCCAAAGGACCGGGGTGAAGCTCATAGATGTACCAAATGGGAGAAAAGATGCTGCTGATAAAGCTATATTAGTTGACATGTTTCTTTTTGCTCTTGATAATCCTCCACCATCTTCCATCATGTTGATCTCAGGTGATGTTGACTTTGCACCAGCACTTCACATACTTGGTCAGCGTGGATATACAGTGATTCTTGTAATTCCATCTGGGGTGGGTGTTTCATCTGCCTTGAGTAATGCTGGTAGTTTTGTTTGGGACTGGCCTAGCGTGGTTCGTGGAGAAGGATTTGTCCCCCCCTCGAGATCTCTGGCTCCTACACGTGGGGTGGGTCCCACTGAGGTCACTAGCTTTCTGATGGGATGTCAGATAACCGACAACTCAGATTTTCAAAATGAGGAAGAAGCAATTGTATATAGAGGGGTCTCACAAAGCTATTATAACTCAAAGGATTTTTCATTGTCTGAATACAACAGTGCATCACTTTCTGTGCCTTGTTTTCCTGCAACGTCAAGATCTTACAGTCTTCCATCCGGTTTGAATGATGTATCAGTGCGACATATTGCGTCTTATGAACAGAATGATTTAATGTGGGTTCAGCCTGGAGATTTGATTGGTTTAAAGGGTCAACTAGTGAAGCTGCTGGAATTATTTGGTGGTTGTTTGCCTCTTGCCCGTCTTCCTGCTGAATACCAGAAAAGTTTCGGGAGACCCCTTTATGTTTCAGAATATGGAACTTTCAAACTCGTGAATCTTTTGAAAAAGATGGGTGATAAAATCGCCATTGAAGGGAAAGGACAGAGGAAGTTTGTGTACCTTAGGAAATGCTTAACTCGGCCCAACTCGCCCCCATTAGATATCGGAAGGAATGATAGAAAAGGGAAGGAGAACATGGATGTTGGAACAGGTGTTGCATCTTCAGATGAGTTTTCTGAGGATGAAAGGGTAGTTGTGGAAGAGCAGGGTGGGATGGATTCTGGATCTGTGATAATAGACGAAAGGCTAGACCAGTTCAGGTACGAGCTTCAAGAGATTCTGGTGAGCTATTCTTGTAGGATTTTCTTGGGTTGTTTTGAGGCAATTTATCAGCAACGATACAAAAGACCATTGGACTATCAAAGATTTGGCGTGAGTGAACTGGAGGAGTTGTTTGAAAAGGTGGATGATGTTGTGGTGTTGCTTGAAGATCCAGTAAGCGAGAAGAAGTTCCTGGTGGCTGCTGGTTGCTAAGGAAAGCATCCATGTTTAAAAGTAAATCTTGATGAGCCTGAGGTATGCTTTCTTTTTCTTTTACGGATAGCAGTGTCGATAATTTTTGTTGCGAGAAACCCCCCATAATTGCAACTTGTGCGTCGCTGTTATACCAACAGCAATCTATGGCATCAAGTGGAGAGAAATGTTCGACAGAGATTATCTTAAAACACACTGGTCTTGCGGCTTGCAAATCCAATTAATTTTGGCATCCAGAGTGGCAAGCAGGATCCTTTTCGGGTTATAACCATGTTTGGTTTACACATGCCTCCACCCTGCTCATGGGTTTGAACAAGAACTGGCATTCGGTTTGGTTTGATATGCTGGAAATGGCCATTCTATTCTTGGTGGGCATTGCAGTGAGGTTGATTTTCAAGAGTCCCAGTGGTTTGTGTGGATGAAAGAGGTTCATGTTTCTTACTCTTGCCACATTCTAAGAAAGATGAAAATGTTTGATTTGTTGGGGGTTCATGATATATACATTTGCGATCTGGCTCAAAGATGTACAACTTATGATGGGTTGTGGTTGGCTGGCTGGCTGGCTGGCTCTTTCTGTTGTAAAATGGCTTGTTTTCAGGGATTATTGCGGAGTGAGGCCCAGCACAGAGAATGGGTTGAGATGATGATTCTCTTACTTGATCAAACTCATGGTCATGGCTCCTTTAAGATAGTTGATTTCTTGTGTTGAAAATTTCAACTCAATTTTATTGTATAAGTTTTGTTTTTACAACTACTTTGGCAAACACCAAAGGAGAGAATTAAAATGCATTCCGTAAACGAAAATTACATTTGGAAGCCGACCCACTGAAGGTTCGATGCAAGAGTGAACTGATTCATTGTATGGTAAATATTTGTTATTTTGGATGAGGACTTTTACGTACACAGTTAAGACTCTAGCAAACACGAATTCATATAGATATGCCCGCATTTGTTTACTTTGTTGTGCCAACACATAAAAGTAATACTCTCTTTGTATGACACTTTGTATTACTGACAACGACTGGTACAAAAAGAAAAGCCGAAACCAGTATACAACAAACAACTCATAACATACCTACAAAAACGATATTTCTGAACAAAATTTTTAACATACAAAACTCAAAACTATATCTATCTCAACCATTGCCAATTCAATGTTTGATTCTAAAACCTCATACTCTACAATTTTGAAAACATACCTGCAAAACGCTTCATCGCTCACAGAACCCCATTCCGACTTCTTAGCAATAAAAACGTTATGAAACCCATCCAAGGGTGGTTGTACTGTACATCTTACAAATGGATTGGAGCACTTGTACCGTACAACTACCAAAGCATCTTCGATTTTTGAACTTTAAATGGAGGGTGCATTTGAAGGAGATTGAGGTGATCCGGTCTCCAGTAGAAAACTTCTACTACAATACGACCGTGATGTACTAGACGAAGAGGCTGGACCCTGACCATCCCAACTTTGAAACATCCCATCTCTTCTGTGCATCTTGCCTTTACTTGTCCTTCCTCTTTCATCTTCCACAGCTTCAATAAACCCGTTATGCATGGGGTCAGCACACTCGTATAAAAGCTTTAGTACTTGCTTAATTGAAGGTCTGCCCCTCCCTTCTCTCTGGGTACACAATTTCACAATGGTTACAACCGTTTGAAGTTGATCCAAGTCAAAGGAGTCGCCAATGGCGGGGTCTACGAGCTCCCCGAGTCTTGATTCTGATGCCATAAGGGACTGGCAAGACTCGACCAAATTCTTGTTGTCGTGTATAGCTCGTCTAGAGGTCACTAACTCTAACAGTACAACTCCGTAACTGTAGATGTCACTCTTTTCGGTTAGTTCTTGAGAGACAACATATTCAGGATCCATGTGACCTGAGTTCGAATGGAAATATTTAGATTCTTTGAAGTATGTGATTGTGGTTTATGGAAAATAAGTTCTTTTTCTAACCTGGAGTTCCTCTGATCTCTGTGTTGACTGGTTCAAAGCAGATGGATCCATCTTTAGAAGCATATGCAAGGCCAAAGTCTGCAACCTGGATCACAAATATTTAAACAAAACTGATGTTCCTAAATTACCTTCCTCTTATATATATATATATATATATATATATATATATATCAGATAAAGTGGATCGAGAGCATGAATAATCCGTTTTTCCAATATCATACTTACCAGGTACTATTATCGTTATCATAATTTAAACAAATACTAGAATGTATAAAATACCTGATTAACCCAGTACACAAGTGTTGTAAATGTTTAAGGAAAGGTTTTGCTTTCAAATAAGCACCGGAAAGTTGATTTCTTAAAATATAATGATTGAAGGACATGATTGGCCGTACCTTTGCTATGAAATTCTCATCAAGTAATATATTGCTGGACTTGATGTCTCTATGGCATAGAGGAGGATCACAGTAGAAGTGGAGGTATTCCTGAGTGTAAGATGAAGAAATGAGGACACGAGAATGCTTCACAAAAATAAGAAATACATTTACAGATAATTTGCTTAAGAACTTTCTGTAAGTTGGATATATTATTACCAAAGCGTTTGCCACATCAATTGCAATTTGTATTCTTGTCTGCCAACTCAGCGGAGCTATACCTGGAGCTGCACACAATCAAAAAGAATTTAGAAAGAAGAAGAAGAATTAAAGAAATAAAGATACATACTGTGAAGATGATCCTTTAAGCTCCCATTTGCCATATATTCATACATGAGAAACCTGCCCCAAAACAAGCAAAACTCTTCATTTGCAAGAAAATCAATAATCAAAGAAACACATGGTGATATGTGCGTATAATGACCTTTCGTGTTTTTTAATGCAAAATCCTTTTAAGGCAACAAGATGACGGTGATGAAGTCTAGCAAGAAGCTCTATTTCTCTGCAGAATTCTTCCACAGCCTGTTCTGAAACTTTATCCATACGCTTCACTGCTAATGTAGAACCATCACTAAATTGAGCTTTGTATACAGTGCCAAATCCACCTTGTCCAATAAGAGTACTGAAGTTGTTGGTTGCTTTTTTCACCTCCCTATAGCTGAACTTCATAAACATTGATGATGGACCTGCATAAACTTGCAATTCCCTTAGAAAAGAGATCTGTGAAATAAGAGAGAGTGTAGATAAATCAGATTAGACAATCAACCACCTTCTTGGAACATTTTTATCGAGGTTTTATCAGTCATCATGTCATGCCCATCCAGTTCTCTACTTTTCCTACGAATAAGGAAAACCATTAGTACCAGCATCATAGTGGCCACTGCTGTAACTGCGATGCCAATACCAGGAACCAATGATAGATGGTAGGAATGGTGTTTTCCAATATTAGGTACACTCAAAGAGAGCTGACTTGGGCTGGCAGCAACAAACGGACTTGGAGATGACTTGGGTGAAAATGAAGAAGGGGTGGATCCTGAAACTACAAATAGATGTAACAAATCAACAGTTAACAATACAATTATCCACCCACAAGAAAGAAAAGGTTACAGCCATAAGAGATCAAATAAAAATTTATCCAAACTTATAGGGTAGGCTAAAAATAAAACCAGGACAGAAATATTCCATGGTTTCCTACATTTTGCAGTGCAAGCAAACATTCCCATGAAGTCAGAAAGCTGTCATCTCAAGAAACATACGAAGGAACGTGATAGATCATAAAGGCTCAGGACATACACATGAACTTTTCACCAATAATTGATCATTTTCTCTAAATACAGACTTACCTGGAGCATTAGCAAGCCCTTGAACTCCAAAGAAGCAGTCGGCAATCTCAATCGCAGAGACACCATCAACTTGGCTAGCAAGAGCGACAAACGCTGCATCCCTGCAAGTGCTCAATGTTGTATTATTCCCAGCTCCCACTACGTTCCTTAGATACAAGATGCCAGCATTCAAACACTTCTTACAACCATCTTCGCCTAAGAATGGCACTCTGCAATTTAGAGTGACATTGGAAAATTTTGGAGATTGCAGCATCTGGTTGACGGTTGTTATTCCAAGGCACTCGTAATTGACAGGAATTTTCGTCCCAAATCCACAGAAAACTGTAGCATTTTTTGTCATTCCATGTAGTTCTAAAGTATCGGATATAGTCTGGAGGCAAATATTGGATAATTCTGGAGTAACTCCTAGGTTGTTGGTTATATTTGCATAACGAACAATAGAAACTGCAACAAGAGCGTTGATATAACGACAACAACTTGCTCTAGATTTTGTGTCAGAACAAATGATGGCAGCACGGCTAACGTTATAATCACTTATATTTAAGGGGCAACCTGCTAATGGAGAAAGATGGGAGAAAATTAGTTATGTTAATTCTTCATGAAAAACAACGACAAACTTCCCCACACAGAAAGATATAAATAGAGACAGAATCATAATCATAGATTTGGCACCTGCCATACCATTTTTGTAGCATGTCTATAGAGAGAGAAATAACTTTTCACTTACGTTCCAAAATTAGAGATGCATTTTGCTTTCTTCCCTTAAACATGTCATTATTTGGATCTCATTTGGCATGATCTCAATTTCAATTTCAGAATTAAGAATGCTGCTGTGTTTGGTCCTTTATTATACTTCCTTTTGTTCCACAAACAATCCACTAACCCAAATTTCCAAAGATCAAGCAGGAAACTAAATCACTTCGGTTCTTCAATTTATACTTGTAACTTGCCCATCAGGACCCTTGCCCCATGTTCGCCAGTTTCAGCTCTTGACCACACCACAGCAGTGCTATATGGGTTAATGGGACTATTTTTTTCCTCTGTTGTAGAATGTAGTTGGGGAAGAGGTTGATCACAATCTCACGGCTTAACATAGTTCCCTTGTCTTCTAATCAAATCTGGGCATCTATAAGTGGGTTAGATTAGACGACCAAAGTTGTAATGTATGTTTAGTTCTGCAACATGGGGGTGATTCACTAGCACAGGAAATTAATATCCTTCTGCAGCGTAGTCATGGATGCCTAGTTTAGTATATGGCTATATGCACCTCTAAAACATGGTGGCACAATCCCTAGAACAGTAATTACCATTAGAAAAACAAAATAGATAGACATAACAAATCAGTTTACGATATCAATCATCTGCTCAAAAGAACCATAAGCTTACTAATATTAATCATGTTTGGCCACACAACTTTAATCTGAAAATTTTGTGGCATTACAGACAAAACAAAAAGCAACATTGTGTGCCCTAATTTAATTTGTTTGTTCATTATAACATGTCTCCTTTTGGTTGCCTCCAGAAAACCACCTAGAAGTCCCACTTGTTCCAATGTCACTACATCAATTCAAACAGGACCCACGTTCTATTGCATGATCTTTATAAATCTATAAACAAAGTATGAGGTGGTTCTTGGAACAATATGCTTTGGTTATCAGAGAACTTTTGTAAGATGACCAACCTAGTTGTCATCTAACACCATAATTTTTCCAATGTTCCTTGTTAGTTGTTACCGTAACACCACTTTTTCCCAATAAAGATAGCATGGCAGGGGAATAACTCAAATGGGGGAGCACTCTTATGGTAACTAGCATGGCCCAGGAAGCAAGTGAAAAAGTTGTTTTAAAGTTCCATTGCTCGTTTAGTTGCTCACCCTATATGTTTCTATGATGGCCCAATAAAAGCTCATTCTTCATGTAGAGAGACTTCAGAATTGCAAGGTGCTATTATGAGTTCCTTACATAGAGTGTTATTCCATTGAATTACATGAATTCAAATACCATTCACAAAATCTTGCTTGCATTCAATGCTCATACATGAAGATCTTCATAGTACAAAAAAGAGAATAATTAATGTAACAACTCAGTTTAGGTACTCGTATAAGTAGAGAGAAACAGCATTCAGATCAAATTACTCTAAACCACCAACCACAAATACATGTGCATAAATGCTAGGGCAAGAAGGAGAACCCAGACGTTGCCAACTTGGATCAATCAATTTGGTTGTCATTTTTTAGCTGGAAATGGTTCACACATTGCACCATTACAACTCGAACAATACAATTAGCTGGTTCTTTCCGGCACCTCTTTCTTACACCAAAACTTGCTCCGGAGATTTCTAGATTCAAATATACAACCTTATCTGCCAACTCAAAATCCTAAAACTAAGCGTTAACGAGTGCATCACTCTTTGACTATTTCCAACCGTTTGGGGATTACTAACTTGTGCAATGATCCTCACAATAAATCAATACATTTTAACAAATCAACACATTCATAGCTAGACTACTTTAAGCAATCAGCAGTCGAGAAAATTTACAGCTCAAATGCTCGTAGGCATAAACCGGGAACACAAACATCATTAGTAGTTTCTGAAATTGATTAACGAAAAGGTAAATCAGACAAATATATAGAAGTATCCATCAAGTTCTAACCTAAAATCCAATAATACTCTCGGTAACGAGAATAAAACTAAAAGTGTATAAATTCGTATCGTAAGAGGGTTCACCTGAAGCTGCCATTGCAGTAGAAAGCTGCATTCCTGCAAGCAATAGAAGAGACAGTAAGAGTAGGGTCCATCTGTATTTCACCATTGTTGTTGAGAGAATGCGAAGCAGAAGAGGAGAATGGGATCGTGGCTGCGTACGTACAAATGGCGAGGGATGCTTTGACTGATTTCGCCTCGACTTTTTAATGCTCAAGGAAGACGACAGTGGAATGTGTTTGCTTGCAGCACTCTTCGAGCATTTCTGTCTATTTACTATTTTACCCTCTCTTTTCATTTAAATTACTTTTTTATTCTATTTTTAGTTTTGGTTTTTGTTTGTTTTTCTAATTATCCAAGAAACGAAATGACAACTTTGTCCCTCACCATCTTGATTTTTTATACATTAAACTGTTTTTAACAACCAATTGTGTACTTTAGAATGCGGTGGGATTTAATATTTTATTGTAAATCGAAAATCGAAAATAAAAAATAAAAATAATTTTTTATCAAAATTTGAAATTTATATATAAATAAAATCGAATTTACAAGTAGTAGTTAAACATGTCTAGTTAATTTAAAAATTCGATAAAAAAACCAAAAATATATTAAGGGTTGTTTGTTTACCTCTTAATAGTTCCATTAAGAAGCAATATTTAAATCGTTAAGAGGTGAATCTTGTTTGGAAGAAAAAAAAATTTGTTTTTTAATGGTTCTAAACCCTCTGAATGATTTGTATCTTGGATCTCCCTTAACCATTAAGAGCCCTAATTTCATTGTACACAATTATCAAACAATTATAATTCATTTTACACTATATCATGAGAATCTCTTAATCATTCTGCACCAAACCATTCAGCAATTACCAAACAACCCTTAATATTTGTGTTAAGTTGAAGATTATAAAATTCTCTTTCTTAATATTGTTTAATTCAAAATTTTATTATAATTTACATAATTTGAATTTAAAAGTAAAAATGTAATTAATTTAGTTTTGATGATAAGGTATTTTTTTAATAAAAAAAATAATGATTAAACAAATATTATACAAGGGTCAATGATTATCTTGTATATTAATGTGTTTATCAGCTGATTATTAATTAGTTTATTAAGTGTAAAAAATTGTATATGTACAACAATTAGTTAATGGTAGTTAACCACAGGCACAGGGTTATAAATGTAATTTTTGAAGTCGAGTGACGTAAACCAAAGTTTTAGTAAACCACATAGACCATTTTTGAATTCACTTTTAAAATAAAAACCGAGTTCTATAACGTTCGAAAACTCACATTCTAGTACCCATGTGATTTGAGTTATATGATATTCAAAATTTTGGCACTAAACTATGCATCTCGTAAGTATGTAATAACCTTTGTGGAACCAATTTTATAGCATAAATTATGGTTTTGGTTACTGGAGTATATTGGTTTTACAGTTTTCATCTATCAGACTTTGTTTATAACAAAGAAAAGCGTTTGTAGAACAGGTTTGGCCACAGTTATGGTCCACGTTAATTTTGTCCCTAAGTGTATAAGATGCTCTTGAGGACAATTTGGACATCTTACACTTGATTTAACATTTTAATTATTCATTTTTTATTTTCAATTCAAAACCCTAAAATGTCCCTATTTCCAACTTTGTCTGCTTTTACTCTTGTGGATGACAATGTTACTCCTTTTGCTTAATGTTACATCATGGTTTGTTGTTTTTCTAATCCATGGTTGCTTATCCTATTGTAGTCAAGAGTGGTGGGTGGGTGCTCTTGGTCAAAGTCTTCCTAACATAAAAAATTAGGTCGCGTTTGATTTGTAAAATGTTTTTGAATGAAATGAAATATGTTAAAGAAATTTGACTTTGAAGAAATTGAAATGGAATGTTGTCAGTTTGATCACTTGTTTGGTTGGTAGACATTGTAATGGAATTTGTTAAGAAATTGGAATCTTGTATGTTTGGTTCACATAATTTAGGTTTGAAATTGGAATGAAATATTGGTAAATGATCAAAATGCCATTTTTTGAAATTTTTACATTTTTTTAAACTAAAAATCTTTTAATAATTTAATGCGTAAAACAATATAAAATACATAACCTAAATATAACCAAACGACGTTACTAAATCGATATTAAAATTGTCTCAAAATAGTTAATTCTTTATCATGTAAAATAGCTAAATTAGTGGTGGTTGGCGGTGGTTCAGATCGGCGGTGGTTAGCCGTGATTCAGATTGACGGTGGTCACGGTGGTGGTTTGCGGTGGTTTAGATGGCGGTGGTCGCTTGTGGTTCAAATCGGTGGTGGTCCGCAGTGGTTCAGATGGTGGTTGTTAGCGGTGATTCAGATCTACGGTGGTTCATATCGAGGGTGGTTCAGATCGGAGTTGGTCGACGGTAATTCAGATCGACGGTGGTTCAAATCAGGGTGTTCAGATCGGCGGTGGCTAGTGGGGGTTCAAATCGGTGGTTGTTCAGATCGGTGGTGGTTAACGGTGGTTCAGATCGACAGTGGCCAACGGTGATTCAGATCATTGGTGGTCGACGGTGGTTCAGATTGACGGTGGCCGACAATGATTCAGATCGGTGGTGGTCCACGACCGTTCAGATGATGATGATCAGCAGTGGTTTAGGTCAGTAGTGTTTGGCAGTGGTTCAAATCAGCGGTGGTCGGCAGTGGTTCAGAACGATGGTAGTCACCGGTGGTGGTTCCGATGGATGGTGGTTGGCGATGGTTCAGATCAACTGTGGTCGGTGGTGGTTCAAATGAGTGGTGGTCGGCAGCGATTCAGATCAGCAGTGGCCGGCAGTGGTTTAGATCGGTGGTGGTCAGCGATAGTTCAGATCAGTGGTGGTCGACGGTGATTCAGATAGTGATGGTCGGCGGTGGTCGGAGGTGGTTGACGACGGTTATATTGGGTTTTAAGAGATTATGGTATATTGGGTTAAGGGCATATTTGGATTATGAAAATAGATGATTTCATTCCATCAAAATACCATGTAGTTGCTAAGGAATGTTAAAATTCGTTTATTTATGGAATTTCTAGGAATTTAAAGATTTCTTTCGTGAAAAATAATGAACCAAACGAGGTAATGGAATTTGGTCAATGGAATTCAACATTCCAATTCCATTAAATTCCTTTAGAATTTGCGAACCAAACGCCCCCTTAGGATTTCCATTCCAGATCTTTGATCAATTTTTTATTTAGGTTTTTCTTGTTTTTAAAATAGTTTTAAGTGTAGTTTGTTTTAAGAAATGTTGAAGTTTGAAGTCTTATTCACTTCTGAACCAATAAGACTATTTGTTTTTGTAAACTGACAAACATCTGAAAATTTATAATTGTTTATTTTATACCAAGATTATTATTATCATCATCTTTACAATCCTATTATTATGTTCGTTCTTCCTAACAGTAGCTAGCTTGTGTGATTACCTCTATCTGAATGGAGAAAAATAAGAGGCAAATAAGGGTTGTGATTACCTCTAACCAAATAAGAGGAAAATAAGTGATAAAAGGCTTTGAAAAAGGAAAAAGAAGACAATCTGAATTAAATAACCTCTTTCCGAATAAGTGATAATAGGTTATTAAGAGAAAATTTTAACGAAACAAACAGAGCCTTAGGGTTTTTGATTTTTGACTTGGGGGTTTTCAATGTATTTTTTTTTTTTTGTAAAAATATAGATTTAAGGTTTGAATATTTGTCGAACGTTTTTGAAGCAATCTCATTTTGTACAACAATTTGGTGATATTTAACTCAATTTATATTTTAATTTTTCTTGTACAATGATTGTTTTTCTTTGTCGTGTTATTAGTGAATTCGATCTGCTTTTGCATCAAAGGTGTGCTTGTGTTCTTGAAGATGAACATCCAGAATAGAGATGAAGACAAAGACGAGGAGAGCGACTATGGGATTATTTCCCCCCGAAATGTGGCATTTCACCTGTACTGATAAACGACTTAAACTATCATCGTGTATAGTGCCTGTGAGGGCACTTAACATTGAGGGGATAGGTGGATGTTTCTGGTGAGGAACCAAAACCATAACAAAACTCGTACCACAAGGGTTTTTGTGATAAACAAAATCGATGAACGAAAACCATGAAAAACTAACATACCGTAAGGACCAAAGCCGTAATTTACTGGAATACATATTATTGACTTTATTTGTTGAATAATATACTTATATTAATTTAGATTAAATAGGTAATTAAATTGATTCAAATACTTCAATCATGGATTAGATTTTGTGGAAATGTCAGAATTGTTAACAATAACTTAAAGATTATAAGAATCAAATACTTCTGCATTATTTAGTAACTAGTCTACTTTTTTTTGTTAGTTGAGGGTGTTTGGTCGTTGTTTTGTTTCTTGTTGTTTGGGTCATTTTGTAAATGAGCTGATCTTTGTCGGGTTTTATTTCGATGTCTCCCTCGCCTTGTAGATTGTGGGATTGACCTCTTTTGGGAAATTTGCTGCTAGATCCTTTCCGATTCCCCTGTCAAGGTAGATGCTGCAGGAGGATCTATGAGACAATTACTTAAAAGTACATTTTGTGTTAGAACGTCTTTTATGTTTTGTAACTTTGTTGTTTGTGTTAGAGTGTCTTTTATGTTTTGTAACTTTGTTGTTTATTATACTATTTAAATCGGGTGGTGCTTTAAAAAAATAATTAACAGGAATTATCAAATCAAGTGTTTATATTTATTCAATATTTTTTGGAATATTTGACAATCTGTTTAAGTTGACTTGTTTCTTGTATACAAAAAAATGACAACTACAAAATGAACATTAATATGAAGTGGGCCTAGATTAGAATACGAACAGTGCATATTATTTTATAAACGATCAACATAAGTGATATGTACGGCATTTATTATATGTTTATCTATGTACTCAGGCCTACGATACACATAGACATTGGAATCCGTCCCAATCTATTAGGGACCCGATCCATCCGTCTCGATCAGAGATGGGGATTCCCCGCTAAATCGAGGATGGGGATGAGAATCGTACTCCTCGTCCTGCCTCGTATCCGTTATATATATATATATATATATATATATATATATATATATATATATAGGGTTGAGTTCAAGTGAAACCAGCCTGTTTTCGTGAG